CCACCATCTACCACCACTACCACTACTACTACTACTGTCTGCTACCACCATCTACCACCACTACCACTACTACTACTGCCTGCTACCACCATCTACCACCACTACCACTACTACTACTACTACTGCCTGCTACCATCATCTACCACCACCACTACTACTACTACTACTGCCTGCTACCACCATCTACCACCACCACTACTACTGTCTGCTACCACCATCTACCACCATCACTACTACTACTGCCTGTCTGCTACCACCATCTACCACCACCATCACTACTGCTACTGCCTGCTACCACCATCTACCAATACCACTACTACTACCACTACAACCACTGCTACTACCGCTACTACTACCACCACCACCACCACCACTACTACCACCATCTACTACCACAGAGATACTGTAATTTTCCTGTCCAGTAGTTATACAGAGACACAAACACACACACAGGGGGCAGGAGCTATGAATCGACCCCTGCAGCCACAATTAGGTGGGAACACACACACACACACACAAGTATCTTAGAGAAGAGGCAGGATTAAGCTCATAGACCAGGAAGAGTGACCTAGAAGCAGCCAGTGAAGCAGAGGGGCCAGGAGCAGTGACTCGACCCCTGCAACCACAACTGGGTGAGCACACACACCAAACACACATCTGATACATTCCACAGTATTCTGGCATCTTCTTTATATCAGTTGGGAGACCTTACTCCGCCAGCAGTACTGTGTAGCGCGTCCTGTACATCATTCAGTTCTTCCTGCACATTAATATTCACTTCCGTATTATCTCGTGTATCTTGGTTATTTGTACTCCTGGTAATTGCTATTTATCATTTATTATCCCATTTATGTGTATTTACAAGTCTTTCATTGTTGTCTTGTCCTATACTGGTAAATAAATGAGGTGTATCGAGGCTGCATGATCCCGTTTATCAACGTAATTCAACGAGTGATTGGAAAAAATTTGTGTCTGGTAGCATAGTTTGTCCTGTAAGGTCAACGTTTTCTCTCATGTGATTGTTTTCTTTGATTATCAATGGGGGACTGTGAGAAGTTTGTGTTGTACGTATGTTCTGAATGCGACACTGATCTGTATCTCTCTCCATCCGTATCTCTGCACTTGCAATTGATTCAGTTGCCTATTGATGGTGTTTGTGAGCACTTCAGCCTATGTTTGCAACCTTAAAGTAGAGGAAATAATGAAGATCATCGTCAATTATCCATAATTAAGAAGGAACTGTCAGCCAGATCCGCCTGACTGTCTTTAAGTCTGACCAAACCCTGGCTATAATAGCTGAGTGGATCAACCATGATCTCCATTAAACTGGAATGATACTTATCATACCTCATAAGTGCCGAATAGGTAAATCTTGTGACTTTAGCTTAAATATCAACGTTCTTCTTGCCGAATAAGTCAAGAGAAAATTTGTGTATGTAATAATTTCGCAAAAATAATTCTGAACCCAACGAAAAAAATATATTTCATTGTTTTTACTATTAAATTATTGTAAACTTATCAAAAATATATTTAGCTGGATTAAATTAAATTGCGCTTGTTATAATAAAGTCAGGTAAGTTTCCTAAGGATCTTTTGGTACAAAATTATTAATTTTTACACTAACATAAATTAAAAAAATCTATAAACGTATAAGAGAAAATTATAGAAATAACTTAATTTTAAACGAGTTATTGATAAGTGACCAAATTTACCTCTTCGGCACCACTTATATAATATGTTGCATGGATAGCCAGTTACTGCCTTGTGTAGTAGGCCTGTGTAGTAGGCCTGTGCAGTAGGCCTGTGTAGTAGGCCTGTGTAGTAGGCCTGTGTAGTAGGCCTTGTGTAGTAGGCCTGTGTAGTAGGCCAGTGCAGTAGGCCTTGTGTAGTAGGCCTGTGTAGTAGGCCTTGTGTAGTAGGCCTGTGTAGTAGGCCTGTGTAGTAGGCCTATGTAGTAGGCCTGTGTAGTAGGCCTGTGTAGTAGGCCTGTGTAGTAGGCCTGTGTAGTAGGCCTTGTGTAGTAGGCCTGTGTAGTAGGCCTATGTAGTAGGCCTGTGTAGTAGGCCTGTGTAGTAGGCCTAGGTAAGAGCTTCTAGATGCTAGGACTAGAAATGAGTTAGTTAATAATGTAATTAAATTATTATTAGTGAGTTAATGTCACTTTAATTAATTGTAATATACATAACTATATACCATGTATACACAGCTATACTATGTATATACAGCTATACTATGTATATACAGCTATTTCTATGTATACACAGCTATACTATGTATACACAGCTATACCATGTATACACAACTATACCATGTATACACAGCTATACTATGTATATACAGCATACTATGTATACACAGCTATACTATGTATACACAGCTATACTATGTATACACAGCTATATATGTATACACAGCTTACTATGTATACACAGCTATACTGGTATACACAGCTATACCATGAAATACACTGCTATACTATGTATACACAGCTATACTATGTTATACACAGCTATACTATGTATACACAGCTATACTATGTATACACAGCTATACTATGTATACACAGCTATATATGTATACACAGCTATACTATGTATACACAGCTATACTATGTATACACAGCTATACTATGTATATACAGCTATACTATGTATATACAGCTATACTATGTATACACAGCTATACTATGTATACACAGCTATACTATGTATACACAGCTATACTATGTATACACAGCTATACTATGTATACACAGCTATACTATGTATACACAGCTATATATGTATACACAGCTATACTATGTATACACAGCTTATACCATGTATACACAGCTATACTATGTATACACAGCTATACTATGTATACACAGCTATACTATGTATACACAGCTATACTATGTATACACAGCTATACTATGTATACACAGCTATACTATGTATACACAGCTATACTATGTTTTACACAGCTTTTACTATGTATACACAGCTATACTATGTATACACAGCTATACTATTTTATACACAGCTATACTATGTATACACAGCTATACCATGTATACCAGCTATACTATGTATACACAGCTATACTATGTATACACAGTATACTAATGTATACACAGCTATTACTATGTATACACAGCTATACTATTTTTACACAGCTATACTATGTATACCACAGCTATACTATGTGTACACGCTATACCATGTATACACAGCTATACTATGTATACACAGCTATACTATGTATACACAGCTATACTATGTATACACAGCTATACTATGTATACACAGCTATACTATGTATACACAGCTATACTATGTATACACAGCTATACCATGTATACACAGCTATACCATGTATACACAGCTATACCATGTATATACAGCTATACCATGTATACACAGCTATACCATGTATACACAGCTATACCATGTATACACAGCTATACCATGTATATACAGCTTACCATGTATACACGCTATACCATGTATACACAGCTATACCATGTATATACAGCTATACCATGTATACACAGCTATACCATGTATACACAGCTATACCATGTATACACAGCTATACCATGTATATACAGCTATACCATGTATACACAGCCTATACCATGTATACACGCTATCCCATGTATACACAGCTATACCATGTATACACAGCTATACCATGTATATACAGCTATACCATGTATACACAGCTATACCATGTATACACAGCTATACCATGTATATACAGCTATACCATGTATACACAGCTATACCATGTATACACAGCTATACCATGTATATACAGCTTTTACCATGTATACACAGCTATACCATGTATACACAGCTATACCTTTGTATATACAGCTATACTATGTATATACAGCTATATACCATGTATACACAGCTATACCATGTATATACAGCTATACCATGTATACACAGCTATACCATGTATACACAGCTATACCATGTATACACAGCTATACCATGTATACACAGCTATACCATGTATACACAGCTATACCATGTATACACAGCTATACTATGTATACACAGCTTACCATGTATACACAGCTATACCATGTATAAAACAGCTATACCATGTATACACAGCTATACCATGTATACACAGCTATCCCATGTATACACAGCTATACTATGTATACACAGCTATACCATGTATACACAGCTATCCCAAATGTATACACAGCATATACTATGTATACACAGCTATACCATGTATACACAGCTATACTAGTTATACACAGCTATACTATGTATACACAGCTATACCATGTATACACAGCTATACCATGTATACACAGCTATACTATGTATACACAGCTATACCATGTATACACAGCTATACTATGTATACACAGCTATACTATGTATACACAGCTATACTATGTATACACAGCTATACCACACACACACACACACACACACAACACACACACACACACACACACACACACACACACCCCACACACACACACACACAGAACCTAGTAGCAATCAGTGAATAGGCGGGGCCAGGAGCTGAGTCTCGACCCTGCAACCACAATTAGGTGAGTACACACACACACGCACGCTTACACACACACACACGCGCAAAACACACCTCAGCACACACACACACACACACACACACTCAGCACACACACACACACACCTTAGCACACACACACACACACACACCTGGCGGCGCCAGGAGCTAGGACTCGCCCCCTGCAACCACAAATAGGTGAGTACAAATAGGTGAGTACACCTCAGCACACACACACACACACACACACACACACACACACACACACACACACACACACACACACACACACACACACACACACAACACACACAACACACCACACTCACACACAAACACACAACACACACACACAACACACCACACACACATACACACACACACATACACACACACACAACCTACACCACTACCAGAAATAATGACCTGTATTCCACATCACTTCCCCAACACAGCAAGAACGGCGCTGCGCCACTCAGACGGGCAGCCAGCATCGACTCCATTGTAGACACCAATGCAATCAACACTGCTAGCAACAATGGCATCAACAGCAAGTCTTCAGTCCTAAGCATGACCAAATCCAATGGACATCTCAGAGCCTACCTGCCCGTCTCTCCGGCCCTGTACAAGAGGTCTAGCTTCAAGTTTGACAGAGTTGCCTCTTCTGGTATGTTTAAATCCCAGTCTTAGTTTAAAAAGAATATATATATATATATATATTATATATATATATATATTTTATATATATATTTATATAATTATATATATATATATATATATATATATATATATATATTGTATATATATACCTTGGTTATGATAGGTAGATTTGAAGTTATTATTATTATTATTATTATTATTATTATTATTATTATTATTATTGTTATAATTATTATTATTTTATTATTTTTTTATTATATTGAGAGAAATATATCTGTTTCTTTGTTTCTTTTATCTGCTGAAGAGGGTCCCTGGTAGAGGTCGAAATATACAGTTGTGTCTTTGTTTCAGTTTACCTCGGTGATATATACTTCAGTCTGTGTATAGTGAGAGTATCTCTGTGTATATACACTGAGATATACTCACCTCTCAGTGTATATATACACTGAGATATACTCACCTCTCAGTGTATATACACTAAGATATACTCACCTCTCAGTGTATATACACTAAGATATACTCACCTCTCAGTGTATATACACTGAGATATACTCACCTCTCAGTGTATATATACACTGAGATATACTCACCTTTTCAGTGTATATACACTAAGATATACTCACCTCTCAGTGTATATACACTGAGATATACTCACCTCTCAGTGTATATATACACTGAGATATACTCACCTCTCAGTGTATATATACACTGAGATATACTCACCTCTCAGTGTATATACACTGAGATATACTCACCTCTCAGTGTATATACACTGAGATATACTCACCTCTCAGTGTATATATACACTGAGATATTACTCACCTCTCAGTGTATATACACTGAGATATACTCCTCTCAGTGTTATATACACTGAGATATACTCACCTCTCAGTGTATATAACACTGAGATATACTCACTCTCAGTGTATATACACTAGATATACTCACCTCTCAGTGTATATACACTGAGATATACTCACCTCTCAGTGTATATATACACTGAGATATACTCACCTCTCAGTGTATATACACTGAGATATACTCACCTCTCAGTGTATATACACTAAGATATACTCACCTCTCAGTGTATATACACTGAGATATACTCACCTCTCAGTGTATATATACACTGAGATATTACTCACCTCTCAGTGTATATTTCACTGAGATATACTCACCACTCAGTGTATATACACTAAGATATACTCACCTCTCAGTGTATATACACTGAGATATACTCACCTCTCAGTGTATATATACACTGAGATATACTCACCTCTCAGTGTATATATACACTGAGATATACTCACCTCTCAGTGTATATTTCACTGAGATTATCATCACCTCTCAGTGTATATACACTAAGATATACTCACCTCTCAGTGTATATATTACACTGAGATTTACTCACCTTCAGTGTATATATACACTGAGATATACTCACCTCTCAGTGTATATATACACTGAGATATACTCACCTCTCAGTGTATATACACTAAGATATACTCACCTCTCAGTGTATATATACACTGAGATATACTCACCTCTCAGTGTATATATACACTGAGATATACTCACCTCTCAGTGTATATACACTGAGATATACTCACCTCTCAGTGTATATACACTAAGATATACTCACCTCTCAGTGTATATATACACTGAGATATACTCACCTCTCAGTGTATATATACACTGAGATATACTCACCTCTCAGTGTATATATACACTGAGATATACTCACCTCTCAGTGTATATATACACTGAGATATACTCACCTCTCAGTGTATATATACACTGAGATATACTCACCTCTCAGTGTATATACACTGACTTTCACTTGGTAAGATCAGACCACTGCTGATACTCACTGACTTTTCACAGACTGTCTTTTCTCTGGCACAAAATACTCCCTTTCTTAAGACTTCCTGCACTTGCTGTCTATTGTTGAAGGTGACCTGTTGTTCCATTAATAGAAAGCCCAGCTTACAACCGAAATACAAGGGGGTTCGATTTCCGGAAGTTGAGGTAGGCCTACCACAACTGTAGTCGTCACAGCTACCACTAACTGTGGTAGCTGTGACGGAGTCTTCCGGTTTGTAATATTCCTTAACGTGTGTAGGTAGAAGGCTGTAGACAGGCAGACAGGCGGACAGGTAGGTACAGGAAGGGTCAGACAGGCAGACAGGCAGACAGGCAGACAGGCAGGTACAGGAAGGGTCAGACAGGCGGACAGGCAGACAGGCAGGTACAGGAAGGGTCAGACAGGCAGACAGGCAGACAGGCAGGTACAGGAAGGGTCAGACAGGCGGACAGGAAGGCAGACAGGCAGGTACAGGAAGGATCAGGCATGCAGGCAGGCGGACAGGAATGCAAACAGACAGGTACAGAAAGGGTCAGGCATGAAGACAGGCGGTCAGGAAGGCAAACAGACAGGTGCAGAAAGGGTCAGGCATGCAGACAGGCAAACAGACAGGTACATGAAAGCAGGAAGGCTCAGGTATGCAGGCAGGAAGGCAGGCAGGAAGGCAGGCAGACAGCACAAGAGGACGGCAGACGTCACATTCAGCTGACAATGAACATTCTAATAGTGGAAATAACACACACACACTCACACACACACACACACACACACCCCACACACACACACACACACACACACACACACACACACACGTAGTGGAGGCAGGAACCATACACAGTTTTAAGACGAGGTTTGATAAAGCTCATGGAGCGGGGAGAGAGAGGGCCCAGTAGCAACCGGTGAAGAGGCGGGGCCAGGAGCTAGGACTCGACCCCTGCAACCACAAATAGGTGAGTACAAATAGGTGAGTACACACACACACACACACACACACACACACACACACACACAGTTGAAGACTCAGATGAGTCACAGGGATGTTAGGAAGTATTTCTTTAGTCAGAGTTGTCAGGAAGTGGAACAGTCTGGCAAGTGATGCAGTGGAGACTGGAACCATACATAGCTTTAAGACGAGGAACAGGGAGAGAGAGAACCTAGCAGCGATCAGTGAAGAAGCGGGGCCAGGAGCTGCATCTCGACCCCTGCAACCACAACTAGATGAGTACACACACACCTACACACGCACATATTACTAGTAATGTACACACGCATACCATAGGCAAGGAGACACACACACACGACCATGTACACACACCACTTTCTATAGCTAGGGGCTAGGCTAGCATGGGGCTAGTAGCAGTCATCCCAGGATTTTACCATCCTTAACCTCATCAACCCACCCATCCCTACCCCATCAACCCACCCAGTCACTTCCCCATCTACCCATTACGGAGCTGGAAGGGGTTAAACCCCATTCTACCCATCTGGAGAGCTGTTACAAGGCCCCATTTTTAGTTTGTCGTGGGTTATGGGTGGAAATGAGGAACAATGAGAATGAATTGAAGGTGAGAGAGAGAGATGAGAGAGAGAGAGAGAGAGAGAGAGAGAGAGAGAGAGAGAGAGAGAGAGAGAGAGAGAGAGAGAGAGAGAGAGACCAACTGAGGAACAATGAAATCAACCATCTACGTTACTATGTATGATAATTATCCTTATATGTGTGTGAAAGAAAGAGATAGAGAGAAAGTAAGAGAGAAAGAGAGGGAGAGAGAGAGGAATAGAGAGAGAGAGCGCGAGAGAGAGAGCCCAAAGGTGCTTTGTTATATATTAAAACACAGCACCTCTGTGTCACACCTTTCCAACTCAATACCCCTCGTATCCAGCAGAACTTAAGCCACCCCTAACTAAGACACCTGCCTCACTTAAAGCCAGCATGGCTGCCCAACCCAGCCATGCTTGAGACATCTACACGGCTTTATTAAAGCCATGTAGACACAAAGCCTGAGAAACTGAGCAATGGTAACACACACAGCATGCAAAAAACAGTGGTCAGCCCCACGTTGCCTCCTGCACAATGTTTGAGAGATTTTGCCTGTTCGGTTAGCAGTTTATTTTGCCTTATTTCCCCGGCTTTTGTGGGTTACTGGGGTGGCTTGTTGTGGGTGAGGCAGCTTAGGGGGTTGTAGGGGTGTTGGCTTGAGGTGGTAAGGGTGTTTGAGGGGTTGTAATTGGTGTGGTTGAGGTGTGTGGGCGATGTCAAACAGAGTTGGTAGTAGAGAGAGTCCAGAGTCTCAGTAGAACTCTAGCTCTAGTGGAAGCGGACTTACTCAACACCTTGCCTTTATTACTCACTCTTTAAACTTGTTTCCGCCCTGAGCACGTCTCGCCCACATTGGAAATTAGCCGTTTTGGCTCCTGTGACATCAGCGCTCAAAACAGCCCCCTCAAGCGCTATTATATGTGAAAAATAACAGGTGTTAGACTCTTTTCTGTGGCTAATGTGTTGAGATTTGCTGTACCATAATTCTGTAGCTCAGGAAATGCCTATTCAAAGGTTGAATGCATATGAGGGTAGGGGATACAAAGGTGCCGGCGGAGGTAGCAGAGTAGTTAGCAGACTATGTTCTGAGGTGTGTTACTGTGTGGGTGGTGCAAAGGAGACTTGGGCGGTGGTACAGCAAGTTATCCTGGAGTGTGGGCGGCAGGGTGGCTTGCTAGCCGCCCACAGCCACCCACAACAGTCTGGTTGATCTGCTGTGGATGTTTAGCACCTGTCCACCCATTTTCCCCACACCCACAACAGTCTGGTTGATCTGCTGTGGGTGTTTAGTACCTGTCCACCCATTCCCTCACACCTACAGCTACCCACAACAGCCTGGGTGATCAGCAAGGCTGCAGTATTAAGGTAAGTCACCTTACTGGTCTATTATGACATCTATTCTCTAGTAGACACAAGTCTATCGAGTTTAGGAATGTGTGTGTGTGTGTGTGCGTGTGTGTGTGTGTGTGTGTGTGTGTGTGTGGTGTGTGTGTGTGTGTGTGTGTGTGTGTGTGTGTGGGGTTTCTTTTTTTTGGGTTGTGTGTTGTGTGTGTGTTGTATGTGTGTTCTGTGTGTGTGTGTGTGCGTGTGTGTGTGTGTTGTGTGT